TCAATGTTTTATAATTTATATTATTTTATTCTGTTGACACACAGGTTCTTACCATGTTGTCCAGGCTGGTCTGCAACTCCTGGGCTCAAGCCATCCTCCTGCCTTGGCCTCCCAAAGTGCTGGGATTATAGGCATGAGCCACTGCGCCTAGCCCCTGTAATTTTTACTGAACTATTTTACATTTTTTCTCCACACTGTCTTCTAAATCCTGTGTATGTTTGCTGTTGACAGCACCTCTCGGTTTGGAACGGCCACATTTCAGGGTCTCAGGAGCCACTAGCTGACAACTGCTATATTGGATGGTACAGCACTAGGGTCCCCTTAGCACTGATGAGGAGGTGCTAATCAGAGGGGCTTCCTGGAGGAGGTGACATCTGAAGTGAGGCTTATGGGAGCTTCCATAGAAGTTGGGAGCAGGGACAAGACAGGATTTCTAGAGAGAGGGATGGCACATATACTTGCTTTCTCAGCCATTGATTCATTCATTGAATGCACACCTCACCCTGCTGGAGACTACGCCCTGAAGAATGTGGGTCAGAGCAGATCTCTGCCCCTTAGATAACTAGACATTTATAGAGCACCTGCTGTATGCAGGGCACTGTTCTAGGAGCTCCCTCCTGATGCTTATAGTCTGAAGTTGGAGGAAGTTCGACAGTGGAGAGAAATAAAATTGCGACATGGTGAAATGTACCAGAGAGGACTTTTTGAAAAATAACTCTTTAAGCAGAATAATAAAGAATTGACTTTAAGGAAGTGAAACAGAATGGCCTTTCAGAGGTGGCAGGAGCCAAGACCCAAATGACGGGAAGATGACGGGAGGGGTGGCCCCGGCAAGAGGGCACAGCTTGTGTGAAGGTCCTTGAGGCAGGAGGACATGCGTGTTCCCAGAGCAGAATGGAGGCCAGGGGGCCTGGACGGACCTTAGGGGTCTGAGGGGCGACACTGGCAGGGTGGCTGTGACAGGGGCAGAGGGCTTGGTGGGCCATGGGGTGGAGCACCCCCAGCTGGCATCCTGGAGCCCAGGATATGGAAACACAAGGGAGGAGCCCAGGATATGGAAACACATCCCAGAGGGGAGGCTGCTTCACTGAGCCCAGCGAGCGAGCATGGGATCTGGATGAAGTGGTCACCTTGGAGATGCTCAGGACATGTTCTGAAGGTCAAGTTAAGAGGAGGAGGCAGCCAGGCACAGTGGCTTATACCTGTAATCCTAGCATTTTGGGAGGCTGAGGGTGGAGGATCGCTGGATCCCAGGAGTTTGAGGTTACAGTGAGCTATGATTGCACCACTGCACTGCGCCTGAGCGACAGACTAAGACCCTGTCTCAAAAATAAATAAATAAAAAGGATGAGGCAGTAGCCCAATTGGCGTGAGGATGTCCAGGTTCTGTTTGGAGGAGCAGAGTGAGCAGTGGAATCTGTCAAGGAAGGAATGAAGTCTGGGGTGAGTGGAACAGGGACAGGAGAAGCAGAGAGGGTGGCCGAGAGCATCTAGTCAGATTGTGCTCCAAAGCAGGTGCTGTAGGGCATTGAGGAACATGGAGGAAGCAGAGACCTGGCCTGTAGGATCAGGGAAGGCTTTCTGTACTTATTCCATTAGCAGGTCCTGTCAGAGGTGTAGGAATGTCCCAGACAAATTGGGGAGAGGTTGGCAGCCAGGGGACAGGAGGCAGTGGGAACAGGCCATGCGAGAGAGGACGAATCCATGGCTGTGGGGACAAAGGGGGTGAGAACAGCACCCAAGGGTCTGACCTGGTGACTAGGTGGACAGCGGGACCTTCATGGGATTGAGAACTGGGAGAGGAGGCAGTGAGCTCAGTGGTAGGGGTGAGCACCCTGGGGCCAGCCGAGCTCTTCATTCATTCATTCATTCATCACATGTCCGTTGCGTATGGGGAGTGGGGATAGGAGCTCTCAGGGAGCATGTCCAGGGCCCTGAGGAGCCCCACAGATCAGGGGCCACAGTGGGAGGAGGAAGGAGAGAGGGAGTCAGGGACAGCCCAAGGGTGTGTGCTCTGTGCTGTGGGGCTCAGCAAGCCGTGGTTCTTCCCTCTTTGAAGCTCCCAGCCAGAGAAGGGGTCCTGGCCTGTCCTGAGCCCCAGTGCCTGGGGGCAGAGAAGATCTGCCCTTCCTGCTGGGTGGGGCCGCGCCTGGGAAAGAGAAGGCAGCTGGCTGACTCCCCAGACCCCTCACCGCCCACCCTCTTCCTCCTCTCCCAGGTAAGAGCAAAGAGGCGGAGATTAAGAGAATTAACAAGGAACTGGCCAACATCCGCTCCAAGTTCAAAGGTAGGCTGGGGGCCCAACTTCTGGCTCAGGGCTGGGAGCTGGGGCTCCTGTGACCTATCCTGTGACATTTCCTCATTTCTGGCTCCCCCTTCCTCCTTCCTTTACCCTAGGAGACAAAGCCTTGGATGGCTACAGTAAGAAAAAATACGTATGTAAACTGCTTTTCATCTTCCTGCTTGGCCATGACATTGACTTTGGGCACATGGAGGCTGTGAACCTGTTGAGTTCCAATAAATACACAGAGAAGCAAATAGTGAGTCTGGAGAGGGGGGTGCCAGGGCCTGGACTTCTGGGTCTAAGGGAGGAGGGGCTGGGGGCCCGGACTCCTGGGTCTAAGGGAGGAGGGGCTGGGGGCCTGGACTCCTGGGTCTGAGGGAGGAGGGGCTGGGGGCC